TGGCCACACCCCGGCTGGCCACGCCCCCGGCCGGCCACACCCCGGCGGCTGTCCCCGCCATGTAAATAGGTTGCTCTGATTTTTACAGCGCTTTGTGACCCTGCCCCGTATTTATTCTCCCAATTTCAATAAATTATGCGCTCCAGGCCCGGTGCTTCCTGTCGGGGGGGCGTCCGTGGGGGCCGTGTGAGGTTGCATGGTGGCCTGGCTGCGGGTGTCCAGACCAGGCCTTTGTTCTGGTGCCCTCCGTCCCCGAGGGGAGAGGAGGCCGGAGTTGTGACCACCTGGAGGCCCGGCACTAGAGATCCAGCTCTGGAGGCCTGGCTCTGCAGGTCCAGCTCTAGAGGCCCAGCTCTGGAGACCGGGCTCTGGAGACTCTGCTCTGTGGATCAGGCTCTGGAGGTCCAGCTCTGGAGGTCAGGCTCTGGAGGTCAGGCTCTGGAGGTCCAGTTCTGGAGGTCAGGCTCTGGAGGCCAGGCTCTGGAGGCCAGGCTCAGGCACCGAGGCAGGCACACCTGCGGGAAGCCCCAGCAGAAAAGGGTGGTGCCCCTCTCCAGGCCTGGGCACCCGATCCTGGTGGCAGTGCTCGGGCGAGGGGGGCTTGGATGGAGAGGTCCAAGTCTGGGCCACCAGAGCCCCTCCCTGATCCGAGCCTGCGCCCTCCCTGCCAGGCGCTGATTCATGCAGTGACTCAGGCTGACTTACACGTTCCTCCCCACCACGAAGGAGCAAAACAATTCCGCAGAGGGCCAGTCCAGTCTTCCCTCCCCTCACCCCTCCGTCCTCAGCCATGCCTCTGCCAAGCCTGGCGCGGCTTCCTGCCTGCCCAGGGACCCGGCTATGCCTGCCCCGGGCCTCAGCGCCCCACCCCCGGCCCCGGGTAACCCTTGGGTGACTGGGGGTGGCTCATGGTCCGCATGTATACGTACATAATAACAGAATTCACACGCATTTCACATATATAATATATAAACGTATACAGTATAGTCACATATATAATTCACATCTATTCCAATATGCGATTCGTATATATTTCATATATATCATTATATAACGTATGCATGTACGTATTTACTTTTGATGTTGCTTTTGTGTTGTTGTTATTGTTTCCAGTTCCTGAACTAGGTCTTGAACCCAGAACCTGGGTGCTGTCCCTTAGCTTCTCCACTCAAGGCTGGTACTCTACCACTTCCAGCTTTCGGGTGGTTCTTTGGAGATAAGGGTCTCATGGCCGTTAATGCCCAGGCTGGCTTCAAAATGAGATCCTCAGATCTCATCCTCCTGAGTAGCTCGGAATTCAGGGGCGAGACGCCAGCTCCCAGCTGATACTGGGGTCTGAGTTCAGGACTTTGCCTTTGCTAGACAGACACCGCTGGAGCCCGGCCAGCTCCTGCTTGCTCTGGTTAGTTGTAAGAGGGTCAGGGGCCTCACCGCAGGGCTGTGATGGAGCTGGGGTGCAAATGTGGCCCAGTACGCTGGGCTTGTTTTGTGGAGAAGGGGTCCCACGAATGCTTTGTCCACACTTGCTTCAAGCCGTGGTTCTCCCGAGAGGATGGCCGAAGTGAGCCGCCCCGCCCGGCCTGTTTATTTCTTCGGTGCTGGGATGGAACTCCGGGCCTTGCATGCTGAGCGAGCTTCTGCCCACGAGTCACAGCCTGGCCCCAGTCACATTGTTTTGATTACCTTGAGATTATTTTCAGAAAACAATGAATGTTTCTTTAAAAACAAACGAGCTGCTGGGGAAGCAGCTGGAGAGCCGTGAGTCAGGGCGGCCACACCGGTGGCAGCAGTGCAGGGCCCTCGGCCTTGTGACCCAGTGCCCTTTCTGCCGATGACTGTCCCTGACCTCCCTCTTCCCAGCCCTCATTTCCTGGCCTCCCTCCCTCCCTCTTCCCCACTCCGCCATGGCTTCCTCCAGCGCCTGCGCCTCTCACCCCAACAACCCCCAGCCCTCGCCTCCTCCCACCGGGCCTGCCCCTCCCTCCCTCCCTCCCTTTGCATGGTTTTCTCTCCCCTAGTCTCCCTCCTGTGGTGCCTCGTTTTTTCTTGTTCCAGATTGATTTTCTGGTTTTGATTGCTCAGTCTCCTCACCAGGCCCCTCCCTCCTCTCCCCCCTCACAGAGGAGGGATCTTTGCAGAAGCCCCTTAGAATCCATGCCCAGAGGGCTGGGAAGGTAGCTCAGTGGTAGAGTGCTTGCCTAGCATGCATGAAGCCCCGGGTTCGATTCCTCAGTACCATATACACAGAAAAAGCCAGAGTCGTGCTACAGCTCCAGTGGTAGAGGGCTAGCCTTGAATACAGAGAGGCTCAGGGACAGCGCCCAGGCCCTGAGTTCAAGCCCCAGGACTGGGGTGGGGGGGGTGGGGGGCAAGAATCCATGCCCAGAATGATCTCAGGTAGAGGAGCAGCCATCAACACCATGCTTGGGTGAGGGGTGGGGCCCCTGGATGGAGAGCTCAGCCTTATGTGGCCCCTGAACCTGAGGGGTCCCCAGGCGGGAGAAACGGGCTGGGCTGTGGCGTGGGAAGCCGAGGCCCGGCCCCCAGAGCGGCCAGCACTTCCTCCAGTGCCCCGCATCCTGCGTGTATGGGGCCGGGGTGCTGGTGCTGTCCAGGAGGGGTCCCCTGGTGCAGCGGGGTCCAACCCCACCCCTGCAGCCTCGTTCTGGAAGCTTCCTAGGTGTGTGCCCTGCTCGGGTCCGGGTGCACGCCCACACTGACAGGAGCGGGGCCGGCGCCGCGTGGAGGCCTAGAAGTTGCAGTTATGAGCCATGGGGCCCAGGGCTCTGAGGAGCCCAGCGAGGAGCCCAGAAAACAGCCCTGGGGAAGCTGGAGCAGCCGTCCTCTCCCCTCCTCCCAGCCGCCCTCCCCTGGCGCCCCCTACTGGCAGAGCGTCCACGGCGCCCGCTTGAGGTGACCTGAGTACTAGAGTCCCGCGGATCCCCAACATTCACA